ATAAATCCCAATCATTGCATAAAGTTTCACTTTCCCATTATGTGATTTTCGATTTCCATGGAAGCTTCAAGTTCAAGTTATAGGGTTTTATTCCCAAAAACAAGAACGAACTAAGAACGATTACATTTCCAGATTTTCAATTTGGAAACCCACTGATTTCTTGTATGTTTGCAGATTCAGATTTTTTGCAAAGGAACCCTACTGATTTCTTGTATGTTTGCAGATTCATACATTCATAGTGTTCATATTTTTGCAAATTCAGATTTTTGTAAGGGTTTCGATATATATATATATATATATATATATATATATATATATATATATATATATATATATATATATATATATATGTGTGTGTGTGTGTGTGTGTGTGTGTGTGTGTTTCAGATTCACATTCATAGTGTAACACCCTGTTTATTTATTAAATAAATAAACAAATTAATGAACGAATAGAAGCCCTAAAATAAATAATTATATATCAAATGATGGTCTCGTAGAGCTAATTGTCACACTCTAAGAGATTGGGGGTTAAAAGTGTAAAATCCAGACTTAATTTGTAAGTTTTATGGAAGGCAGGGACTAAATGGAAATTATTGGGAGTTCATTGAAGAGATTTTAGAGGCCTAGGGGCCGTTTGGTAATTCAGGTATCAAATTTGAAGGGGATTTCCGAAGCTGGGGTAGAAAAGGTAAAATGTGGATTGCATTTGAATAAAAAGGGGCATGGAGGGACTATTATTGCCATTATGGAAAATCTTTGAATGGAGCCGGGTATAAAGGGTTAAGCAAACCATAACCCTAACTCATTTTCTCTCAGCCGTCGACTTCACTACCCTCGTGCTCTCCTTCAGTCACCACTCCCACTTACTCCACCTCTGGCGCCACTATCTCTTCCTCCACTGTAGATGTCGGAAACCACCAATGGTTGTCGTGTAATTTAGCCGTTGGTGAAGATGTCCGTTTTGCTGTTTCGTGGCCCCCGAACCGCCATCTAGCACCGTCGACATTCCCTCTGCCGATGACGGCGAAGACCATCAGCGGTCTCCGTCCCTCCGTCGCAACCTTCTCTCCCCATGTCTCTTCGTTGTTTCTTCAGTGCAACGCCCCAAGCCGCCTATCGTCGCTGCTGTTACCACCTTTAGCCGTCCGGTTTCCGATAATGCTGCTGTCGCCGCCGGTACTGTTGTCCTCGTGGTTTGATGTCGCTGCCGCCGCCATCACAGTGCACCACCGGGGGTGGTTGCGTCCCGATACCAAGCAAATACTCATCGGGGCACATTGTTGTTGGTCAGGGAGCAAAAAAGAGTTATCGCCACCACCGTGAGGTGGTGGCTGCCATCCGAAAATCTCGTTTGTCGCCGCCGTGAGCCACCAAGGGGGGGTGGCTGGAGTTGCTTTGCGACCATTTAGTGGGTGTGGGTTGCGTTGCTGCGTGTTGGAAGCCAAAGGAACCACTGCCACCACCGTGAGGTGGTGGCTGCCATCGAGAACCGACATTCGCCACAACCGGCCGCCACTAGGTTTCTATGTATATGTGTTTGTATTAGTGTGTGGGTGTGTGTGATTATTTGGGGTTTAAGCATTGTACCATGTAACTAAAAGAAGAGTAATGAAAAGAAATTGAAAACCACCACCTTAGGGTGGTGGCTGCCGCCTCATACCGCCACCGGCCGCCGTATCGGGTGGCGGTGTGCCTTGCCTCATTGTGTTGACTCGTTTGGGGTGCTTGAAACCCTAATGGGCCCAAAGAAGCCCTAATGGGCCCAATGAAGCTTAATGGGCTTAGTGAAAACCTTAATGGGGTTAATGATATTCTAGTGGGCCTAATAGGCCCAATAAAGCCTTAATGGACCTAAAAGCCCAAACAGATGACTAATGGGCCTAGTGAAACCTTAATGAGTCTAATGAACCTTAATTGATCAAAAGACATGTCAATTGGGCCTATTGGGCTAAGATGGGGTTGGAAACCCTAATTAGGGTTTAGAAAACCCTAATATTGGATTTATAGGCTTGGACTTATTGAGACCCACTTTTGGGCCATTGGAATGGAATTGTGTGATTAAGCCCAATCACACCATATGACTTATTTAGAAGAATGATGGACTTAATGTATTAAGTCCTTCATGGATTAAGTCTTTAATGGGTTAAGTGAGAAACACTTAACCCTAATCGTCATTTTATGTGAAACCCTAATTTCACTTGGGTTTATTGTTGGGCCTCTTTATTGGGCCTTGATGATTGGGTTACTAATGGACCATCCAAAGTCAAGCAATTGGACTAGAATAATTTAATGGGCCTAGGGTAAGGCCCATGTAAGGGGTTTGGGCCCAATTTGGGAAATTGGGCCATAGTTTGGGCCTTAATGATTATATGATGTTGGGCCTTAGAATAAGACCATGTATAGGCCTGGGCCCAATTTGGAAAAGTGGGCCATATGTTGGGCTTTGATTCCCAGTTGACTTTGGGCCTATGGATTGGGCCTTAGGCTTGCATAAAGCCAAGCTTTGGGTAATGTAGTAGTTATCCAGAGTATGTACTCATGGTTATGTAGTGGAACCCAATTATTAATTGGGTGTTATTTTGGTGTTGACAGTTCGGGAATCTGTCATCCAGCAGCTGGGGTTGAGTCTACGGGACTTCAGAAGTGTGGGGTTGTGTCTACGGGACTTCAGCAGTGTGAGGTGAGTTACCTTCCAGTAGCGGTGGGTCTACGGCCACAATGTCGGCCCACCAGTAGGAGTTGTATGATAGATGATTGTCTTTGTGATTTTCATCTAGGTTTGCTACTACCTGATATGTTTATGTGCTAGCATGATATGTTATATGTGATAGTGGTAGTAGGGGGAGGATAGTCCCCAGGTTCGGTCGTTAGGACCGAAGGGTAGGTCGGGCACCCCAAAATTGCCTGACAGTATGTTTATGCTATGATATTATGTGGTAGTAGTAGGAGGTGAAATAGTCCTCGTATGTCGAGTGAAATAGACCGACGGGTACGTCAAGCACCCCAGAATGGCTTGATCTGGGTAGTCAGGCACCCCAGAATTGCCTGACAGTACATGTGTGTTATACTATTACATGGTAGCAGTAGGGGGTGAAATAGTCCCCGGTAGTCGGGTGAAATAGACCGACGGGTATGTCAAACACCCCAGAATGGCTTGACCTGGGTACGTCAAGCACCCCAGAATGGCTTGACCTGGGTAGTCAGGCACTCCAGAATTGCCTGACAGTATGTTATTGTATGGTGTGTGGTATGATGGGGGAACTCACTAAGCTTTGTGCTTACGGTTTACAGTTTTTGTTTCAGGTACTCGTTTTCAAAGGAAAGGAGCCGGCTTGATCGCAGCGCATCACACTATGTTTTCCGCACATGAGATCTTTGGGATTACACTCTGATATGGTTTTATGATAATATGTTTTGATTATTGATACTTTGGTTTTGACATGAGATATTAATATGAATGTTTTTATACTGATGGTTTTATATAATTACTTAATTAAAACGAAATTTTTGGTCTTGAATTTTGGGATGTTACACATAGTGTTCATCACTTCCCCGGAAAAATCATACATTCGCCGGAAAATTCATATTTTTGCTAGAGAATTCATATATTGGCTGGAAAATTTAACTTGACCGGCTAAACCTACAATAGCCGGTCATAATGGTTTTTATGAACATAAAAAACAAGTTTAATGGTAAATAGAGTACAAAAAAGAGTGACCAAATATGAACAAAATCGATAATTTGTAACCCTCCAACGTCATTTTTCCTAAAAATAACATTAGACATTTTATATTATAATTTTTATTTAATATGTTTGGAACAAATTTCGTACTACTTTAGACAAAGGATCTTGTTTTTAAAAGTTTCAAAAGTATAAGAATTTAATTAATTTTAGAGCAAAACTCGATGCAACCCACCAACCCAACCCACAATTAACAGGTTGGGTTGAAATTTTCAACCCATTTAAGCTAAATGGGTCAACCCGTCTAACTCATTTAATTAAATAGGTTGGGTCGGGTAAAAATTATCAATTCGTTTTCAGCCCACCAACTCATTTAACTTTAGTTTATATTTAATTTAATAATTATTTAAATATTATCATACATTAATCTAAGTATTAGTTTATAAATTACAATGTTTGTTATTATTTATGTTTTAAAAAAATGGAATCCTAATTCCTACATTTTTTCTTGACACCGACAACACTAGTCACTCTAAAAAATCGTTTAGAAATGACATATTGGGATTGTGAATTAGGATTGTGGTTTTGTTATACTTTGAACTTTTATTTAAGTCTATAACTAATTTAAGTGGTGTAATCTTTAGTTAATTTATTAATTTATTTTTATTTTAAATGGGTCAATCCAAATTTAACCAATTTATTTAATAGATTTGGCTTGGAAACTATATAAATGAATCAACCTAGTGATAACTCATTTATCTGAAAGGTTAGGTTGAATTAGAAATATCAACCTATTTAAACAAACAGAGTGGGTTGGGTTGAAAATTTTCAACCTAATTAATAAATGGGTTGAACCCGAACCCAATCTAGACCGACCCGTTGCCAGCTCTAACTAATTTTAATCGATAAACATTAGTTTCTTCATAATTTCCCTCCAACTACAAGGGCATTAGATGTTGAATCCTCCCAAGTATAAGACACAACCTGATAGACTTTTAAACACCATTTTTTTATGATGTGTTTTAGGAATGATTTTGAATTTATATAATCCATGCATGGTTCTTTATGTGTGTATTTACCAAAATTATATAATTGTTTTTTTTATGGATTTTGGGATGTTAACACCAATCTCCTATAAGAGATTCAAGTGTATGTGATAGTAACTTGAACCATATTGACATAGTTTGCAAAACGATTGGATGTCACAAATGAAATAAGAAACTACATCCATAAGCACACATGATTCCAGTTGAATTTTGAGTTACATCTGTAATATATAGAGTTGGTCATCCAACCATAGTGATAGATGGTTAATACAAAAGAAAAAAAAACACATAAACTTCGTACTTGTGGATTAACCGGTGTGGTTATTTTGTATACTAGTTAACCTATCAAATGTATTTTTGACATGTACATTCAATTTTATACACATTCGTTTTAAGGTGATCACAATACTATACTCATCGAGTATTTGAAAACCGTAAAAATCGTTTGACACAGGAAATTCTATTGACAATATCCTTATAGAATGCAGCAACTTCGAGTTTTTTCCCATTTTTCTTTACTACTCTCGAGTACCTACTTGTAAATGTGAGGATTACCATCTTCTCCTTAATCATTATCTCCATGGACTCCATCTCCCCTACATGTTTAGAAACGTAGAAATTTAGTTCATCAATAATAAAACAAAAATAAATTATAAACAATACTTATACTCTCATAACTATGTATATTGAATGCAATTTTGTTGCATGAAACTTCAATGGCATTAAGTTTGATATTAGTTGAGTTATTATCTCCATGGATATTGATCCATCTCCCTTTCTTTGTGTATAGGTTTTTTAATGATAGTTTCTGCATTGGTCTTTGTGCAAGAAAACATAAACCAATAAGAAATGGCCACGACACAAGAGGTAGGAAATCTGACAAGAACGTATCGACTTTTAGGAAAAACAACATATTGATTATTGGAAAAGTGCAAATGGACCCCGATTTTAAAAGGGTATCCCATGTCAAAAATTGTCCAATTTCTTGTACTTATTGGTATCCACCCATGAATAAAGTAATAATATAGAATTTACTCTTTCAAACTGAAAATACTATATGAATAAAGGGTTGGCTTTTTTTTCAATGATCCTTATTTGTTAGTTTCGAGTTTACAGAAAAGTAGTATTTTTAATTAAGATTCATCTTTTAATCATTTTTATCACTAACCATCTACTCTAAAAATTAATTCTAATTTTATAGTATCGTTTACTTTAATCAAATTACTTCATTTATTAAAATTAATATATAAATAATTTATTTAATGGAATAATCATAAAGTTAACCATATGTTTTTGGAAGATATATAAAAAATGACTATTTTTGAACATTTGTAAAAAAAACCACTTATTTTTTTACATAACTATATCAGATTTCAATGAAATATAGGATATATAAGGTGTATTTGATTTTATCATTTACATCAAACACTTCAAAAAGTATATTTATCTCAAAAATCTTAAATATTTAATATTATCGATATTTCAACTATATAACATATTTTATGCCCTTGTATTAAACATGAAGTCTTCTTTCCCCAATACGTAGTCATCAGGAATCCAAAATATATTTATTTGTCAAAAAAATATAATTTTGATAAGACATAAAGTTAATCCAAAACAAATTTGATCTATTCTTAAATGTCTCATTATGGACGGACCAACATTTTCATAAATGCCTCAAAAGTTAGTTATAATAAGATAATTTCCTCATTTTTAACATCAATTTTGTGATTATGATAAATATAAATTAGTTTTTTTTTGAACGGCAAATAAATATAAATCTCCTCTGTTTGGGATTGAACCCAGGACCTCCTAGTTAATAGTTAGATTAGTACATCCATGTTAGTCAAGTGGGCTAGCCCCAACTAAATATAAATTAGTTAAAATACAATAATATACTAAAATATAAATTCAATAAACAAATAATTTAAAATGATAAAATATTATTTTACAATAATGAATAACATTTTTGGAGAAAGTTTAGCTTCCTTTAAGCGAACTTTTACATTTAAACGAGCTATTATTTTATATTTGGAGAAAGTTCTCTTACTGATTACTAATTTATTCTTTACCAATTAGTAATTTACATATCTGACTTGTTAAAAGTTATAAAATGTGAAGCATTCATTATAGCTAATTCAGTAGTAGTGTTGACAAAACAAATATTTTGGTTGCAAATATAAATTGTCAGAACTATAATATTTATAATAATAATAACAACCTAAATAAATAAATGAACACTATATGTTAATGCAAAAGTCAAACAATAATTTGTCATTTAATACGCCAACAAGAACCGACCATTAATGTCATCTATGGACTCTACCTTATAATAGAATATTAAATTGTAGCACTACCTTTGTTCCATACGAATATAAGAAAATAATGTTAAATTGGTACAATTTCATAAAATATTATAGAAAAAAAAAGTAGCATTTTTCACATGATTGGATGAGTTATATATTGTAACACGTAAATATCAAAATAAAATGGTAACGATACTTTCATATTCATTTTTACAATATTTTATTAATGTAACATTTTAAATCTCCTAGATCATATTTCGTTCAGTTTTATAGAAATTAAATCACATAAAAAAACTTCACTTGGAGCAAGAGGAGAAAAAGAAAAAAAAAAACAATTTGGAAAAACAATATTAACCATCTCAATATCAATATGTATTTAATTATTTTTTATAAAAAAGGATAGAATTAGTATAAGCTATTTTAAAAACATTCCCATTTCAAAGAAGATCTTCCTCAAAATGATGATACTCGACAAACTCAAAGATAATTAGTGTAAGAATATAAGTTTATAATTATTATTTTTTCCAATATATAATTCAACAACAAAAAAAGAAGACATGATATTTTATTTTTATCCATCGACATTTCCTTATTTAAATAAATAGGAAAAACAGGACCCAATATTAGCATATCCTGACACCCAACTGCCTGTTCAACGGCTAGCTACTGGTGGTGTCTCTAGCCTCTACGACGGTGGCTAAAAAAACCGGCCACCGGAAAATCAAGAAATCTTGAAAAAGGAAACACTTACCGTTAAATTTGGAAACAATATTTGCAACTCTATCTTGACACATTTTGCATCGAAAATCCGCCATTAAAACAACTTCTTGAATCTGTTTTTACAACAACAATTTTGATCATTACATACGATGGAGGATGAACAGAAACATATGCATAATCTAACCAAAATGCAGAAAACAAGAACATTACGTACTAAAGGAAAGGTCAAGGATTCAATGGAGGCAAGTGTGGCCGGAAGTTTGACCAAGTTCTTTGACTTTTCCAGTTTCATTTCATCATCTTCTTCTTCCTCTTGAACAGCAGCCATGTCTTCAGCTACTGTAAATTTCTCGAGAAGGGTATCTGTGTTTTATTGTATGCCAAAGGGCAAAGAGAAAAGGGAATCCTATCTTTAAAAGGTTACTTTTACAGTTTCACTGTGAAATAGTCGAAAAAATATGGTAAGGTACAAGTTGTAATGCATGAAGTACGAGTTATTAAAGTACGAGCTTGGAAAAGGGTTACCATTTTTTTATGTTCAAGGAATTATGATATCATGATATCAATGTCAAAATTTGCTTGGTGGGGTCCCACCACCATGGTTTAAGATGCGTACAAAACAACAAAGAGTGAAAGATCAATTTCTTGTAAATACAGCAAATTGAAAATATGTCTTATACTATCCCTCAAGTATCAAAGTTTTCTACTTTTCATCCCTTGACTTTAAGGCTATTTCTATGAAAGCTTACTAGACGTTGGAGATGCCAACTGTTGTAGTAGGTAAGTTTTGTCTTGAGTAACATCTTGTAACAAGAAACGCCAAATATCTATGATGATCAAGAATCCCCTACTATGCATTTAATATTGTATTAATTCATCCAAACAAATAAATAACACAAATAAATCTAACACACATAAACTATGCAAATTATAAGAAGGAAACATAACCACATAGACTGACTCATTTCAAATTTAGGCAATCTATTTGTAAAAATAAGTTTAAAACAAAAAATGGGGTTAATTTATTTCAATTTGACTATACTTATTTAAAAAGTTTGCATAATCTAGATTTATAGTTGAAACACAGTGCCACACTGAAAACCCCTTAAAACACCTGTGGTCTATATGTGGTTATGTTTTCTTCTTATCAATTTAGATACTTTATGTGTGTTAGATTTATTTGTATTATTTATTTGTTTGGATGAATTAATACAATATTAAATGCATAGTAGGGAGATTCTTGATCATCATTAGATATTTGGCATTTCTTGTTACAAGATGTTACTTTAAAATTGATTTTTTTACGCAAAAGACATTGAGTTTTCATCTTTTTCAATTTTGACACTGAGGTTTTTTTTATGCTCCATTTTTTGTTCCAAATCGAATATTATTTTTTTTCATTTTAGTTTAATGTTGACAATTTTCCATTTGAAACAGTATTTTTTTTTTTTACATTTGAAACCGCGTAAATACATTTTTTTCCATTAACCATTTTTGTATTAATACAAGGTTTTTTACGATCAAACAATAATATTATATATAAATATCTAATAGTTAAATTATAACAGTATATTACATTAGATACACAACTTTAAAATGAGTTTGGAGGTGTGGAATGCACAATCATATAAACTAATTTAATATATGGAACACGACGGTCTGTTGTTTGCTTTAATTACCAAGGAACTGTTCGTTGTATATATTTGTGATTTTTTGTTCTTACAAATATACTTCTTTTTCATTTAACATTGCAATAGTGCATGAAAAATACAGTTATAATATAACTAATACATATTTATAAATAATATTATGTTTTGAAATGTAAAAACATTGTATTTATATAAAATATGGTTTTTAAATGAAAAAATAAATTTATATGGTTTCAAATGGAACAAAAAAATGATATCTGATTTGTAACAAAAAAATGGAGTGTCGAGTCAACAAAACTGAACAAAATTGGAATAAAAAAAAATGATGATCAAATTGGAAAAGAAAAAAAAAATCTACGTGTCAAATTGTAAAAAAAAAATTTAAAAACTTAGTGTCAAAATTGAAAAAAAAAATGAAAATTTAATGTCTTTTGTAATACTTTTTTTCAATTTAGACACGTCAATAAGCAATCAACCTTTTTCAATTTAGACACGTCAATAAGCAATCGGGTTGACTGGTCGAGTGATCATGACTGTAAGACTACCCCCATTGGGGCTTCTTGCGAGCGAGTAGTAGGAAAAGAAATATTAAAAAAATGAAAAGCAGACGAACTTTGGTGATCGAGTTCGTGACCACGCACTCAGCTCACTCTAGCTTGTATATAAAGATCTTCCACGTGTTCAACTTTGTTAAAAAGAATCCTTTAGATTTTATATAAAAAACTAATTTTTGTTAATAAGTAGACTTTATCTTTAATAAAAAATAAAATAAAATATATCAAAATATTTGATTTATTTTTGTCTACAAAATAAGACCAATATTGATATAGTTTTATAAATATAAAGTTTTAATATAAAATAGGTTGGGTTAGATTCTAATAAGATAAATAATTATATTGGATTGAGTTGTATAGACGGAAAAAAGAGAAATTAATTATTTATAAAAAAATTGGATTGGATTGGGTTGATAATGTGGATAGTCTAAGCCTACCCCATTTGGGGTTCTTGTGAGCCGATCGGAGAAAAAGAATTATTAAAAAAATGAAATTGAGGCGATCCTAGGCAATCCAGCTGGTATCGAAGCCTCTGCTCGTAGTGGGTTGCATAAAAAAAGCTCATGTCCACGTGTCCTCTTTGTTAGAAGAAATGAGTTAATTTTTATAACAAAAACTAATTTTTGTTTATATGTAAACTTTTATGTTTAATAAAAAATAAAATAAAATATATCAAAATACATAATTTATTTTTATCTACAAAATAAGACCAATATTGATATAGTTTTATAAATATAAAATTTTAATGTAAAATAGGTTGGATTGGGTTGTTAATGAGTGTAAATAATTGGATTGGGTTGAGTTGTATAGATTGAAGAGAAATAAATTAGTTTTTTATAGAAAATAGAATTAAATTGGATTGCCAATGGAGATAGTCTAACAAATTGAAAAATACAGTGTCAAATTTACGACAAAAAAAAAACCACAGTTTGAAATTAGAATTTTGATGTAAATTTAATAACTTTTTTGCTATTTTCCCTAAATTCTATTATATGCATTAAAAGTAATTTCTGAAATAAAAGTGAAGAAATTTGATGGTGTTTTGTTGTAGAAGTCCGAAGGGCTTTGCTATTATGCCCCATCCTGACCGAGGAAGAGTTACGACAAAAAAAAGGTTAAAGACCACTCAATAAAAATATATCTTAATTTTATGGAATACCAAATGATGAAAATATGATATTCACTTTGAGTTTCAACCATAAATCCAACTAGTTATTCATCGAAACTTTTATGGTACATTGGGGTTAGTTTTATTTCAATTTGACTATACTTTAGTATAAACAAATCAAATAAGCTCTTAAAATCCTTCTTAGTCCTTAATCGCTGTCATAAATTAAACAAGCTATTAGTTTACATAAATGATTAGCATTAAGATCAAAGAATCATCACATTTGTATACATGGTATAATACTATAATGGCAAATGTGAAGGACAATATATCCATACAACAAATGATTCTCGCTATTCATTCTAACACCACAATCCAAAACCAACATCGATCAAATCCCAATTAGTAAAGTTTTAACTAAATTAAACGTGTTAAAATCACCAAATTACAAAACTAAACATCTTTCATGGACACAATGCATAATCTCCCTCTCAAAAACTTGTGCCACAAAAAGCAATGCCCAAAATCACCAATCTAAATTGATGCCCCTTGAAATGTATAAATTATCTATGTACTTAATCACGGGAAGTGAAGCTTTTATATATCTTCTCATTTGCACAGCTGCTGATTGCTCTGTCATAAGGTTTAGGATCCAAGATTAAAGAGTAACTAAATGAGTCAAACCTCATTTGCCAAGATTTTATTTAAAAAAAAAAAAAAAAAAAAAGATTTCCATGACTAACCAGTTTCATTTAAATTGAGCAGAAGTTGTTCCCTTAATGGAAGAGCACACATTCCTGCAGAAACTGCAGTTCTAACAGCCCATGAATGATATGGCGCACACACTTGTTGATATGCTGATGAAGCTGCATCTTTTAGGGAGTAATCGCTGAATCATCACCACAAGAATATGCAATTAATAACACTAGAATTAATAAATACAATCAGGTGTAATAAGTCATAAGAACATACTTGGTTGATAGAAAATTCTGGAATAATTCTCGAATTAGGTCAAGACCCTGTCTAACTCTGCGAAGATTACGAGTATGGCTACCACGTGACTTCACTGTCTTCCATTTTACATCATAATCAACTACACTGCTTAAACTCACATAGCGTTCTGATGCTTCTTCTAGATCACGCACCTGAAAACCAAATCGAGCAATTTGAATGAATTGATTTTAACTACCAGAGTTAGGGTTTTGAACTCCTTAAAAATCGTCAGTTAGTTTCAGAAAGAGAAAACAACAAACCTTAGAGGTGTATTCCATCTCGGCGAATTTAAAAGCGATGCCAAGGGAACTGAAGAGCACAGAAACGAAAGAACACGCATCACAAAAAGGCTTTAATTTCAAAACAGGAAAATCGCCATTTCTTCCATCTATAATCAGATTCGAAATTTCCTCAAATGCATCCGCGATTGAAGAAAGAGAGGTTCGTGTTCCAGCGTCTTCAAATTCATCACCGACGCTATAATCCATCCTCTTGGAGTTGCTCCTGAGATCACACAATTTCAGATAAGCAACAAAACGCAGTTTCCGAATCATCAATTGCAAAAACTAAACACAAATTGTAAGAGAAATCGCGAATTAACGACGAACATACCATTCCGTGCTCCTGTTGGTAGAGCTGAAGTAGGAAAAAAGAGCCATTGGATTTATCTTTTGCGTCTGCTCAGATCCAGATTTCCCCAAAAGCGTATGATATTGTCGTGATAGATTTGGGAGGTTGATGAATGTAAGATTTGCAAGTGCTCTGATGACAAGAACAATTCAAGAGCAGGGGATCACAGGGAGAAACGAAACAGAGGTATAAAAGCAGGAGAAAGGACGATTACTTGGAGCCTAAGTATATTCTGTAAAACTTTCTGGAATAACAAAACAACGATTACAACTATTTATAGTAATTACGACGGTATCCTATTCAAACTCTAAATCTGAGAAATAAACTTAGTAAAGGCACCTTTCCAAAAATATCTCTGATTTAAAAAAATGCTTTTGAAGTTGTATGGATCAAATCTGATCAACCCAACAATAAAGGGGATGAATATATGAAGAAGGTGGCGGTTTCTGTTGATTATACTTTTCGCGCCTCCATGGGACACGTCACACGTGAGTTTGCGCGTGTAAAATCAGATTGAATTTCGGATTGCGTGCAAGGTGTGTTCAAATTTAGTTATATATATATATGGACCTTGTAATTTGGTCACGTAACATGATTTACCCCTAGTGTTTTGGTTAATGAACAAAAGATCCCTTATACGAAAATCAAGTCGATCGAACATCACAAACCCCAAGAGGTCAAATCTTATTCGTTTTAGATGTTTATATACTTTTTCCCTACCATTTTTTGGTATTATAGATACAACAATGAACTTCATTTATTTAGATTAAAACTCTTAAAGTAATTTGGTAGACAAAAAATAAAACTTGCGGACGACGAGTGACGACCTCATCGACATTCTAAAATGAGAATAAAAAATTAGACAAAATTACATAAATGGTCCCTATGGTTGAACAAATGTCACAAGTTCAGTCCCTATTAATTTTTTTTATATGAATGGTCCTTATGGTTTTTTAAACTTGCATGGTCTATGTGGTTTCTACAACTTGCACAAATGGTCTTAGAGCTAACATAAAATGACCTTTTTGTCCTTTTTTTAATTTCTTTTATCTTTTCTTAAACTAAATTTAATTATTAAAAAAAAAAAACCCCACCCCCTCTTCTTGTATTTGTTTTCATTCTCTTCTTTCTTCTCTCCCTTTACTTCTATTTACCTCATCCATAACTAGACCTGGCAATTTGATACACGACACGATTAACACGACACGAACACGATACGAGTTTTCCGTGTATGTGTTTTAGAAATTCGTGTTTCGTGTTTATTCGTGTCTGACACGTGTTTTAAATTCGTGTTTCGTGTCTTACACGTGTCAAACACGGATTTACCTGTTTAGACACGTATAAGACACGATACAAATTCGTGTTGACACGTGACACGTACAAACACGTATATACACATATATACTTTAGGGTTAAATTTTATATTTATAATATATTAGGGATTAATTTCGTAAAAGTCAATAATTAGTTTATAGTCCTAGCGTAAAAAAAGTCATTAAAAACGTGTCTATTCGTGTTTTCGTGTAACACGTCTATAAAACGTGTCTATTCATGTCGTGTCACGTGTCACACGATTTTTTTACGTGTCGTGTTCGTGTTTGATACCCCAAACACGTTTTTTAATTCATGTCGTGTTCGTGTTTAACAAATTCGTGTCGTGTTCGTGTTTAACAAATTCGTGTCGTGTCAATTCGTGTCTGACACGAATACACGACACGCAGACACGGATTGTCAGGTCTATCCATAACCATCATCTCCATCCACCCCCACAACCACGATTGAGGCAAAAACATAATGGGGTGCGTTTCGATTGGGAGTAATATATCATCTTGTGGAATTGAATAGTGAGTAATTTGAAATTGTTAAGTAAATTGGAGAGGAGAGGCAGAGGAAAACAACATTCCGCCCACAAGTTATTGGTTTATACATGGACATATCAGCGAGGGTGTGTGGTATCGAACCCTAAAGGAAAATGTGGGAGAAAATAAAGATGAGAGAGAGAGAGAGAGAGGTTGGTGTGTTATGAATTCCTTGGAATGTTTTTACCAATATTGTTATTACAATGTACGAATTTAAACTGTTCAAACATAACATTATTTTGAGACGAGTACTAGCTATTCTAATTACTACCAAAGATCTAAGAGACATCAGGACCCACACACATCTTGAATCTTTGAACCTCTAGTGGAATCAGCAACATGGACAAATGAACAAATGATGACCACATTGGAAATTGAGAGCAAAAACTCAATAGAGTAGAGAGATAGACAACACTCTATTATTCATAGCAATTTTTTGGTTAATAGATTAATTATCACAAACTTGTATTCCACAAGCAAGACTAAAATAGCAGTAACGATTTTTAACCAAATGGAACAACTATTGTGATAGAAAAAGACAAAATGTGAAGGTCCAAAATACAAATAAATAACAAAGGAGAGATAGGTAACAATTCAATTTCTGTCTTTCCCAACACCACCACTAGTATACGCACTGAAAATTTAAAAAAAAAAATAGAAAAAAAAAAAGCAAACCAAGAAAACAGAAAGTAGAAAGAAATAACCAGGAAGATTGGTCTGGTCTGGTCCCACCACCATTTATCAACAAACGAAGAGTCTACTAGTCTTCAAACTCATGCATATGATCTAACAGGTAATTAGCTGCAAGCTCTTCATTCTTGTTGCATGCGAAAAACACCTCTAACACTAGTGCTCTATCAAATCCCATTGCTTCAAGCTAAACATATTTTACATAAAAATAAATATCATTTTCATTTTCAACTGATATATAACAAAAACTATTAGTGGAAAACTAAAAAATATAAATATAAAAACTCACGCGTTCAATGGCTTCACGTTCCTCAGGAGTAACAGTCACAGCCTGTGGCATCGCTGCAGCAAGATCTCCAAGTACGTTCCTGAAATACAAACCATCTCATTCTTGAAGGACTAAAGTGTAAATTTAAAACTACATTGTCATTTATGAAGAAAAAAAGAATAACTTACTCTCCCCCTTCAACAGGCTCATTGATCAAACGAAGGAAATCAGCTTGATGCTCTTGAATCAGTCTCACCAGATGTGGATTTTGCTTCCCCAACTCTTGAAGCATAGGCTAATAATCAACATCACAATTATTAATTATATAACCATATACTTTTTTTTAAAAAAATAATAAATGTTTTGTAAACAAATTTGATAAATAAATACCTGCAAGATTTGGGGATTAGCCTGCACCATGGCTCGAAGTGCTTGAAACTGAAAACACAAATATAAATTATATTTTTCATTTTATTGATAATATAATTAATTATGTTTGACTATTTTATAAATAAATAAATAAATACCTGTGGACTGTTACGAAGAAAATCCAAGTTGCCAGCAGCACCAGCAGGAGCATTTGCGCCCATGTCAGGAAGTCCCTGGACCAAACACGACAAGTTTACAATCTACAGGGTCTAAAACGAAAATCAACAAACTGAAAGTCAAGAAAATATTGAATACCTGAGGGAAGAGATCCAAAGGGTTTGAATTTGGTCCACTTGGAGGAACAACTGCAGCTGGCGGGGGCTGAGCAGCCTGCAGACCTGGCAGCGGTGAAACTCCGGCAGCTGGCGGGAGTTCTGCTGGCTCCGGTATACCCTGACATTATACATGGTAAAATTATAAATTTAAAACGTTTTTATATTTAATTATTAAAATAGAAATAGAAAGAAATCAAAAGACTTACAGAATAGAGATATTCAACAGCTCTTTCTGGATTATTGAAAGCAGCACGAAGAGCACGAACAACTGTATCCCTATCCCAGTTTCCTCCTCCCATATCAAGAAGATGTTGAATTGTACCTTCTAAATTACTTCCTGATACAAGATTTGATGCTACTTGATCATATACATTCCCAGTCCTATCTCAAAAAAAAAAAAAAAAAAAAAACTATCACTCATTAATAAGTAATAAGGACTAATTGTATTTCATGATTATGTTATGAGAGAAATGCTGACGTGGCATTCGCAACAGGTGCTGGATCGGAAGCTGGAGGAGCAGGTGAAGGAGCAGACACAGGCCTGGAAATGTAAAAAACATTAGTTGAACGAATCCGAAATATAAATAAAGAATTTAAAGATGTAGAAAAAGATCTACTGCATGACAGGTGGCGGAGCCTGAGTGGCTGCTTGTGCAGGGGGAGTTGCGCTTGTCTGAGGTGCCTTCATTGCATCACAATATGACAATAAACATTAAAAGTTGTATAAAAAACATATAAACTTTTTTTTAAAAGTACTACCTTTGGGGCGGATGCTGCTGTTGAAGCTTCACCAGAGGTTGGCTTAGTCTGTAATTAATTATAAATTAGATTGTGTTTAAATATTGGATATGATGATATGTAAATGTTGTATGGGGTTACTTTTTTTTTTTACCTTGGATAACATGATGACAATGAAAGAATTTTCAGCCACTTTGTTTTCTTCTAAGGTGGTGGCATCTTTAAGCACTTTGCCTTGATGGATAAGCATTTGTTGTGCAGCTGGATAAACATCTCCCTGAACACTTTCAATATTTTTCTTCACATCAGCAACCTGAATCAACAATCACCATATCTTTATACAGAACTCAAGTTGATTAAGAGAAAGATAGATACAAAGAAAATATAAAATCCGTTTCAAGAAATCCACAGTTTAAATGATTGCCTTATATATAGATTGTATTAACCTAAAATAGCTTTATATAGCAATGTGAAACATTCAACTGATTGATTTCCAGCATTAAATTATTAAACCTTACTCATTTGTCACTGTTTTCTCAAGTAAATAAGTAATCAATTTGTGGATAATAACTAGATCAATTCAATGAGTTCACAGACTATACTGAATATAAGAGAAGATAATTTCTCTAACAAGGTGGCAGCTTCAACCACATACTTCCCATTCCAGTTCAAAGGATTTTTTATCAGTGATTTACTATTCTTCAAAACAAATAAACAATCATGTAAGCATGAAACATGCTTCATCCAACAATTTCTCATATCAATTCTAATAATTCACAGCGATTCACAATTCATATAACTCACTGTTAGATGAATAAAACAAAAGTACACAGAGTTAGATGCGTTGGAGTATTTCGATTATGATTACTTAATATTTTCAATGAAACTGATCAATTGACATGAGCGAAAAAAAAACACAATATAATTACTAATAGGGAATACTGCAACTTAAACCCTAAGGAATCAATTTCATAATCCAAGGAGCAAAAATCATACTACAATCATTATCGAGTAAAACTTCAGATCAAACAACGCATAAAACCCTAGCTTCCAATCGATTACACATAGAAACATCACGATTCGTTAAAAAAAGAAACAAAAGAAGCAGAATTGAAACGAGACGAACCGTGTCCTCGGATTTTACTTCGATTTCGAAGTGAGTCCCCTTCAATGTTTTCACAAAAACCTTCATCTTTCAATTTGTCGTCTACAGTC